CAGTGTTGATAGAAGAACATAATGGAAACCTCCTAAACACTGTAATCTACTCGAGATCAGTAGTATCAAGCGGAATTCGTACTACGGACTACACTGCAAAGTCGTGCATGGAGGATAGCTGGCGGATGCATTCCAAGTGAGGACTGAAGTTAGAAAAAGCTACTTACTCTCCCCTTTCTCTTTCTTCTGGTGGCCGACTGGATGATGAAGACCTTCACATCTGAGAGAAAGCACAGAATACAATCGACAGCTTGGATGCAACTAGACGATTTGGACTTCTCAGATGACCTAAAACTTCTATCCCATACACACCGACAAATGCAAGTGAAGACAGCCAGTGTAGCAGCAGTCTCTGTCTTCAGAATTAGGCCCCAACATACACAAGGGAAAAGGTAGGATCCTCAAACGCAACATGGAGAACACCAACACAATTACACTTGATGGAGAAGTCCTGGAAGAGGTGCAAAAGTATTATGTACCTGGTCAGCATTGTCGATGAACAAGGAGGATCCGATGAAGACGTAACTGTAAGGATTTGCAAAGAAACAACAGCGCTCCCACAGTTGGATGTCATATGGAACCCAAAACAACTGTCAACCAATATCAGAGTCATAATCTTCAATACGAACGTCAACGCAGTCCTACTGTACGAAGCTGAAACATGAAGAACTACTACAATCGTCATCAAATAAGTACAAGTATTTATAAACAATTGTCTACTCAAGATACTCAATATCCATTGGCCCGATACAATCAGCAACAACCCACTGTGGAAGAGGACAAACCAGCTTCGAGCTGAGTAGGAAATTATGAAAATACTTTGGAAGTGGACATGACAAGCATTGAGGAAATCGTCAAACTACATGACTAGGCAAGCGCTAACTTGGAATTCTGAAGGGAAACGGAAACGAGGAATGCCGAAGTACACTGAGCCGAAATTCGAAGCAGACATGAAAACGATTAAAAGCAACTCTAGAAGACTACCCAGGACAGGGTTGGATGTCGAACGCTGGTTGTCGGCTTGTGCTCCTCCACCAGGGGTAGAAGGCGTGAGTAATAATTGATTTAATTGTACTATAGTGAGTTACGAATCACTTTTCCTAGTATATACATGAAAAGCTTGATATAAATTTCACACGATTTATAAAAAACTGTTTTCAAACTTTTCAAGATATTTCAAACGCAAATAGATGTCCATCATAATTTTTAACCTGTTCTTCTCTTTAACCAACCTGCACCATGCTCTACAACTGAAGTCTTCTATGGAGAATGTGATTGTTTTGAGTAAACTGCATATCTTAGTCGTGAGACTATAAAATCGTTAAAACCTAATAGTAAACTGCATGCATTGGAAGATTTTCCTACTGGATTCAATAATATGATGCAGGATCATTTATATGACCTTCCAGTCTCTTTTGGATTACTTTGCTAAATTAATCAAATAACATCCATGCTACGATAAAGGTCTAGGAAATAATTCCAATATTGTTACTGACAAAGTCTAATTTGTTCATTTATTGTACACATCATTTCAGACTGAATAAATCATAGTAGTTTACAATAATTATATCAAGTTTGGTTTTTACATCACACAATCCAATTTAATAATTTCATGTAGATATAAGCAGAGATGAGTGGTGGCTAGCAGTGAAATCCATGATGCGCATTTTGTCCTACTTTGGACTCGTTAGCTGAATGTACTTTCATATAGGTAGTTTAAATAGTTCACTATTCTATGTTCGTTAAAAACTGATTAATTATTACAGTTATTTTATTTATTTATTTTAACACATAGATATTGGTACAGGGAGGCACCAAATACATATGCGCCACACAGATCTCATTTGATATGTGTGAGAGCTATGATACTGCCCGGGTGCCCAAACCGAAGCAGGTGGTTTTCTTAGGGGGCCACACCCCGAACCTTTGACCTAAAGGTCTGACCCACAAGGCAGTGGAGCATCGTAAGGAGATGCAGTCCCATGGTAGCCGGTGACCAACGATTGGCTCATACGCCATTTGTTCCTTCAGGATACTGGAGCCCATGTGCACCATTGGTTTGGGATCCGGTTAAAGAGCCGGACATTCGCTTTTCGTCCTCTCATTTCCGTAATCAACACCCCCTCCACAAGAAGGTAGTGAGTAGGACTTCCGTGGCAGAGGCTATATACGCGTGGCCATGTGAGAGCATTTCGAGAGGGTGAGCGGACTCTCCCCACTCTCGGCCGTACCAGGGCATTTGGGGGCATTATTACAGTAAAATATCTTTTACACGTTTATTAGTTAAGTCGGTGGATTGCTTACATATTTCCGTACAAGGTGAGAGCGATTCCAGTTGAAGAGTGACTATTCACTGATATCTATATTTCATAGTTGTGGATATCTCTTATCTAAATGAATACAAAATGCGATTTTCATCATGAACTGATGACAACCTATCATGGAACGGCCGAAAAGGGAACTTTGAAGTTAGGCTCACGATTCTTGGCGAAAACAACTAATCGGTTGTAATTCTTCATTAATTGAGGTGTTTGGGAGATGTATTACATATGTCTAATTAACACTGGTATAGATGTGGGTCAGAAGAAAGCTAGAAGAGGCCAAAGAAAATGCGGGACCAATTCATAGGCTGTTGATCTGATTTATGTTGACAGGTAACGACCATCTGGTTGAATTTTATACAATAACTGTGAGGTTCAAAGCCATGACTTAAAATAATTTACAATATCTCAGATACACTTAATTTTATCTTACTCTAGATCTCTGGTTCGACCACTCATTCATACATACCGTCTTAATAGCAAAGATGGATAGTGTCTAGCAGTGGAATCCAGGACGCGCGTTTAGTCCTATTTGGGACTCGTCAGCTGGATGTTTCAAGTGAATTAATACCGTCTTATTGTCTGTTTGGATTATGTTCTTAAAGCTTAGTCTTTTTCATTATCATTGTTTTGAGTTCTTCGCCATCCATTGTGTCAATTTCATTTCATTATGCTAATGGTGGTATAGCAACTTCAGCTAATGAATATGCGTACCAGGCTCTACGCTGATTATGACTGACAAGAGAACCATTAAAATACAGGAAACAGTCTATGTTTGGCGCCTCTCAATACTGTACACCCACGAAGTCATTGCTTCAATGAGCTTTCAGTCAATACCGTATGAAAAAGAACCTGTTCAAAAAAATTCAGTCTTGATAATTGTGTTAACTTACTATGATCGCTATCATTTTTAACTTGAATATAAAATTCAACAGTAAATAATTATTTATGTAAATACTGTCAGTGTTCTCGTGTTTAATAATAACCGCACTCTTAAATATAAAGGTCATGCCCAAAGTTCTATATGATCCACAAAGACAGTTGGCCTGCAAATGATCTGGACGCGAATGAAATCCTATTTGTGCAAACTTTGTTTCATATCTTGTACATAAGTGTAGCATTATTCGGATATTAACATTGAGTCCACACGAGCTGGGAGATTTTTAGAGATTTGTGAGGGTGTATCTTCTGACTACATTGTAAATGTGAATTGGTCAACAGTGAATCGTCAACGTTTGGGTGAAATCTATTCCTCGTTATAACATATAGTGTAGTCAACCTTAGGTGCTTCATGAAAAAAATGTTGAATTAACAATTCCTGATATTTTATCGCAATTTTCGAATATTCAAAACATCAAACACGATTCATGCCAATAACAATTTCATGACGCGACCAGCTAGTTTATCCCAGTCTAATTTTAATTGATCTCAATAAGTACATGGAACTGACAAGGTACCGATACCAGAATACTTATAGTTTCCTGTCATTTATATTTATTAGTCACTTATCAAACGTAAGTCGAGGGAAGCCAGTACTTTATAACTACCTAGTTATTGACGGCATTGAGAAAATTGCACATATCAGATACTGTAGTATATGATAATGGTCAACATGCTCCAATTTTTGTATTGATAGTACTTTTATGTTAATATTTCATCCATAATTTTGAGTGTGGTTGTTAGCGGGACATAGATTGGATTAAAGCATGCTCAATGCACGATTGCTTTGGTTCACGCTGATTGGCTAATTCTTGTCCAATCAGCGCTAGTCGGTACTTGGAGAGTACTCTAGAAATATTCTCATGTAAAAACTATAAATATACTAACGGTTTTCCTATTGTGCTTCTTACTTCCATCTAACCTTGTTATTTGGATTATAATCTCTTTCCTGTTCAACCGTGTTCTGATTTGGGGACTTGTCGAGTGAATTAGTGTCCAAGAATACTAAGCAATAGGAATAGCTGGGTTATAACCGTAAGAGGGAAATATAACAGTGGTGATCTGAACCAACACACTGAGCCACTTAATTTCTCCACTTAGAACACATAATTGCACTACCTCGTATCAGCATACATGAAGCGCATGGTAAGCAATTCTTAGCCACTATTCTACCAACGCTTTTTTTCTCAAAAAAAAAAACAATGCCTGTGTGACTTAATTTGGATAGAGGGTTTCAACATACAACGACCTATGAGACTTCTTACTTTTCTGGATAATAAAAACCTGATACAATAAGCATTCCAAGATATGGCGCACAATAAATGGGATTTTACAGCCAATTACATTTTTGTATATTGTGTGAGCGATTTGCATGGCACGGAACCTCATAGAAAAGTGGGCAGGATGAAATGCATTCCAAAACCTAAACGATTTAGATATCAATAAACATATTTTTGGGTTGAAAAAAGAAGACCTTATATTCCTAATAGTCTAAAACAACGATGGATGAAAGTGTACAGATCGCGGGGTCAATGAAAAACACCAATTCATTAGATCACAAGAATACAAACGAAATATAGTTGGTTTTTTAGAAAAGAATTAGACTGTGGACTGAGAAATTTTATCTACAATTCTTTATCTTTGAAATGTGACAGTCGTATGAGGAGCATAGTTCATGTAAAATGAATAGTTACTAGGATCCTAATTATTAAAAGTAGTAGCCAAGAATCAAAAGAGATTCGAAACAGAAAATTTTTATTTAGAAACAACTAAAAATAGTTTTAGTCTTTAGATATATCTACATAAGTGTACACGCTCACTGTTCGGCAAGTGCAGAGTTGTCCAGTCATGTACTCGTTCTTTTTGGGCCATGATAAACTTCCTGGTACGTTCACAAGATGGGTTAGTACACATTGGACAGCGAAGCATGAACTGTTTTGAGCATGGATCACCCCGACGAAGGTGATCTAGGACTAATTCGGCTAAACCCTGAAATACAAAAATTATCTTAGATAAAATTAGTATTTAATTCCTACAAACACATGACTATGGCAACAGAGTGCTTAATATTTAGTTATGTGAACACATTAAAAATGAAACAGGATCCAAAAACAAAAGTAGATGAAAACCCCATAACATAATCCCATTCCAAATTCTGAAGTCGGAAGTAAACTGAGAGTTTTAGAATGTGAATATCGTAGAGAAAAGCAATGTTTTACCTTCTTTATTTTAAAGAAACAAGACATTTCATTACTTTTCTGTGAGGAAAAGTGAAACATAAGAGATACATGTCCGATTTTCGAACTGATAACTGGATATTTGCAATCTAGTAAATAGCGCTGTTCTCACCGAAGCTGCGAAATAAAGCTTATACAGAGACAACCTTTACAGTAGCTCATAAAATTGTTCAAAGCAAGATATTTCAGTGATACCACCATAATTCCATATAATAACCCAGAGTTTTCTCACAAAAAGCTTCACATAAATTGTTATATTTTTAACAACCACGTATACACTTTCGGTTGTCGAGATATAACGGATGGAGTTGGTTTAATTTGGTTTAGATGAATGTATGAGTGCAATTTACCTTTCTTCACTTAGAAATGTTAATTATACTGTATTTTTCTCCATAGGAAGACAAAACTATTTATGTTAATCAACGTCTAGATAATCTCTGTGTTCTTTCTGCCAGAGTTAAGGTGAGATAAGAACTTATGTTGTTGCAACTATTTATTTATTTGAACACATAAATATTGGTACAAGGGGGCACCAAATATATATGTGCAACAATACAAAACATTCTAAATGCTGTAATCAACTGCTACTGGAGATGGACGACAATAATTTTATTATTACACACGTTAGTTATTATGTAGTGACTCAAACAAATAATTCGTAGAAATTATACAATCCATCCATTTATGAATGGTTATATTCTTTACGTTAATCGAAGCTTATAAAAAGTTTACATTACATTGGACTCTGGGGGTACCTTCTCATCCACTTTGACCTTTACAAGATGAAACTGAAAAAACGACAACTGTCAATTTATTATTCGAACACTAAATAATACCACTTACTTGACTGAATGCAGGGTCACCATTCAGTGATTGTGATCTGCGTACAGAAACCATACCGGCTTTAGCTGCTATTTCAGCGCAATATTCTACGTCCATTTCATAAAGAGTTTCAATATGATCTAGAGTGAATGCAACAGGAATTAGGAGTGCATGTCGATATCCCAAACGACTCAACCCATATAGGGTGTCTGCTGTTGATGGACCTAACCAAGCAGCTGGACCAACTTTAGATTGCCAAGTAAGACGATAAGGCCACGAAAAATTGAGTTGTTTCATGATTGCGTGAACGGTGGCACCTACTTCCTGGAATTAGTTAACAAAGGAAATCCAAAAACACGTAATATTCTGAGATCAACCACATTAAATAGATATAGATATGGGCTCTTCAAGTTTCACTTAGCTGAACAAAATACTAGAATCAAACAAAGGGATGTCATTGCCAATTCGACTTTTCAACTTGCAAAAGCTCACAAGTTTTACCGACTTAGTGACATAAATCTAGAGAGCTATGTAGGTAGTTATAAAAATGGTTGGATTAAACAGATAAACAGCAATTACTTTGTTATGACTCACTCATTAAGTACGAGTTTAAATACTCGGCTTTAAGACACTTTACGTGAGAGGTGCTGATGCTACCATGCTCCCAAAACCCAATTAGATCCTAGAAACACACCAATATGTTATAGTTTTTCAAAAAAAATATGGGCTACGTGGTTATTAGGTGTTTTAAGACCTTTAGCCTAGTAGTCATGGTTGATTTAAACATGAGGCTTAAAAGGCGGTTTCGGATTTTAATCGTCCGTTGGCTCCATATAGTAAATTTGATAAGAGTTAAGGCTGCAAGTAGATGCAAATTATAGATGTTAAAAGAATTCCAAGACTTCAGATCAATTTAAAGTTCCCCTCGATGTTTGAAAATGGGAAAATTTTTACTGTATGTTTGTGTAACTCAACTGGATGTTTTTACGCGTATAACAGTTAACGCTTCATGATCTAACCTAAAGCAGAAACTAATTTTATAATATGATCCATAAGTTAAAAAGGAATTGAACAGTGATAGGTCAGATGACTGCAAATCTTCATACTGTAAGCAAAATATTCCAAGTTGTGTGGGCTTATTTTAATAAGTTTTGAACGAAGTACGCGACAAATAAGATAATTACGTCAAAGTGGTGGAGTCTTTTACTGTTTAGTGAGTATACAATGCTAAGCGTCTATACATCATAAATTTCTCAAACCAACCTGAGGATAAGGATCACCACGATTAACGACAGATAGTGGAATCGAATGTGCACTGAAAATAAGGACGGTATTCGCACGCTCTGTTTCATCATTAATACTCTGGAGCTCTTCCAGAATTTTATTGGCGAAACTGTTAATTAACGGGGGGAAGACAGGCCATCTGTCAATAAAGGACCAGATCGGTCCAGGTCTATTGTTCTGTACAGAAGGAAGCTCAATACTTTCCACTCCATTGAAAATTTTTTCTTCACTTTCGTAATGACGAGCAATGGCATTAAAACTGCTTCCTGAAGTCGCACAGCTGTACTGTGGATACTGACTAAAAGCAACAACGCGCTCTACACCGTCTCTACAGTGAATTAAAATAAGTCAAGTAAAAATACCTTTCCATTTCATTAACACAAGATTCCACAAGAGGATGAACATAACGAAATGCAACGTAGAATCTATGAGGGGCTAATTAAAGAAGTAAAAGGTTGCAAACTTTGCTCTACCTGTTTCTGGGCTAATAGCGTCTAAGTGTTTTATCATCATTTCACCTTGAACTTTCGTCCAATAAAGAATTGGAGACCCACCACCAATTTGAGAATACTGTTCCTCGATCTTGGGTGATCTTTTCCATGCTACAAAACGAGCTAAGAGACTAGATTGTAACAAAATATTCTCAAATACTCTTGGAACGGCATACGAATAATTTCTTTGTCAGAGAATAGACGTGTTAAAAAATTTTGTACTTCCTTTGTAGTTTCCGGACCACCCATGTTTAGTAGCACTATGCCAGTTTTCGCTCTGTAGATTATTAAAAAGTACGTTTGCTTACTTTTGCGAGCATTGTCGATAATACATACAGTAACGATTGCCAAAGTAATTACGCAGATACCTACGTAACGCAAACATTGCAACTGGCGCACAACTTAGTTGGCTAGGTCCAATCTGATTACTGTTTTGACAAATCAGTATGAACTGACTGACTCTCGTCTTGTTGTTGAGAGTCAACAGCAGTCAATATTTTCATCTAGCCTTCGTGAATTCAAGGGACTCAACAACAGACACATTTTCTGCAGATCCGTCAACTAATTAAGGGCACAAATTTTATGCTATCAAAAGTTTGTTCTACTAACAACGTGAATCCATGAGTTTATTTTTATTAAGTTTCAGTGGTAACTAAATCCCCAGACAAAATAGCTCTGTATGTCTTCGACATAAATGCTAACCTCATTAGTTTTACAATAGGTGAAGGTGCTCAGTAACACATTCTCGCGAGATCATTAGTAAGTACGTCGTGCTAAGCATCACCTTCAACAATTAGCCGGATTAGTTCACTCAATTTTCAACACACTGACTATTTTATAGAAACATCATCGAGCTCCTTGATTCTTGACTTTTGATTAGACTGGATTATAAAACTTTTACAGACAAAAGCTTTGTCAAACTTTAATATTTTCAGACCATAAAAGTTCATATTCCACTTTGTTTTGGCTCTATAAGAGTTGACATCTGTCATCTATTGAGTTTTATCTCATCATTTATGAGTCTTAACACTTAAAACGAGTGGAGGACGATGTTCGAATTACGACAAACACAGAATGGGGAGCCAGCTTTGTGGATGTGACGGAAAGAAAACAATGAAAGTCCCTTCAGAGCATTTCTTTGGATATTTTTATCGTTTATTTGTTCCATCTTCTTATCTTGTATTATAACATTTATTCAGGTTTCTCGTTAAATACACTTTGTGTTCTTCAGTCTTTCTTTGTTATTTCATCCTGTTCAAAGATGTATCTCTCATTATTTAACTTACTGTTGCATGTTGACAGACCATTGACACTATGGTCGTTTTTGACTAAACTCATGATCACGGAGTGTTGGTAATATTTTGAGGAGGTGTGGGGTCTGAGCATACCTCAAAAAATCCACACTTCTTTTGTGATGGATGACAAATTTGGGTCGGACAATAGTTTTTTGGTGATTTTGGACAATAGGAGGCCAACCAACAGCACGAAGACTGTTGGATAGATGTTTCTTATTTGATAAATTTGCTTCACCTGTGTTTTAGATTATGGTGGTGCTACCATCACCTTGTTCAGAAGCTAACAACCCATCTTTTACATTCGCCCGTATAGGTTATGTGAACTATCGTATTGTTGAAGGCATTATGCTAATTTACTTCCCCGTGTTTACTTCGGAGCAATCCACATTTGAACGACTCAAATTTCAGATAATAATTCATTTCACTCACACTGAGGAGGTATTACGAGGAGAGGAAGTGATAACAATTCAGAATCCAGAGGTTCTCACTGTAACATAAAACACATTAGTAGAAATTAGGATAAAAAACTGAAGTCAATCATTCTTTAGGGCTATTGGACAATTGCTGAACCCTGTTTAAATGAATTATCATATCAAACCTTTCCTACTTTGCATGATAGATAAGTAAAAATTGGAAAGTTCACCGAATGTCGTTGGGGTCAACGATGAATAACGAGAATTAACTAATTACAAGAAATGAACTGGGCCATGCTGCGTTGTTTGTATGGCAATCCAATTTAGAAAGCTTAGAGCTACCTGATAACCTACTATTGAAATCAAAACATTATTTATTTATCTGCTTATTTTGTGTGTGGGTTACATTTCTTAATATTCGCCACTGGATGGTGAAAGGTTTTTATGTTTAACTCAGTTCCAATTGTGCTAGGCACTGTTTGATAAACAAGCACAGTAAACGTCTTGAAGTCCTCTAATTTTTCTAGGGTGACAAGTAAATACAGTTTCGACAGTTTCACTCAATACAGACTCCATACAGACTACAATTTACGGTCTCTCCTAAACCGGGTCATCAAATTGTAGTATGGATGCATTAAAACAACTGTTGGGAGAAGTCTCAGATTACTAGTAAGCAGTGAATATTTATAGACGTTTCTGAACCACTTTGAAAGGATATTGAACGACCGAACGTGATCGCACAGAATAAATTACCGCTTATTAATGAACAACTGTTATCTGAAAAAGCTCATGGTTATCAAACTTTTCTTCATGACAGGAAATGGAAGTATATGTGTCTTTTATTCTGGAAAAGATGATTATAAAAATATTTGAATATCATTTACTCTAGGTACAGCTGGTTAAAAAAATGTGAAAACTTTTATCCAGCGAACATAGTTACATTAAACGATGTTGACTTTCTGGGACGTTTATGGCTGAATACTATGTTCAGGTAGATAAACTATATCCCAGATAGATGAGCCAAAGTAGTGCATTTAAATACTGAAGATGAAACTAGTTACTGGAGGTATGGGGGATCCATATTAACCCAAATGAGTCAATTATCTACCACCATCAGTTACAGATTAGGGTGTAGATCACCAGCGTGGATGATCTACGTCGAAATGATTGAAGGCTTACTCGAATTAGACGTGAGTGGTGTGACAAACTAGCTAACGTCGAAGTCACACTTCGCGGTCTGCACCTTACATAGATTACCCCATTGACGTATCAAGGTACTATAGATGCTTTGAAGACTGTACAACACAGGACGTTATTACAGAAATATATTAGTTAAAGTAGACACAAGCTAAGGTAAGACCACTGCCGCATGGGCCAGTCCATGGCGTACGATTAACTGATGCGCGTTGGTTTTCCTTGACATTGACGAGGATTGATGATTTTGTTCGATATTCAACGACTAGGGCTCAGTGGAATTTCACTGGCCCTACAAGGGATATGAGAACCTAGAGGAATGCTAGCTATACACATTGCCAGATTGATCAGCAAAATTGTGATCTAACTACCTACCTCTCTGATTCAACCCAACGATGATATGAACTATTCTTATTTTGGTTACGGTTAGGTCACTACAACGTCTCTTCATAAGAGCAACAAAATTATGATATACTCTGCAAATATCTTAGTGTTACAAAGGCAACCAAACTTTTCAGTACATTAAAAAAGATGTATAAATGTTTTGGTGATCCAAAAGGCGCAAGTGTGAAGAAATCACTGATTTCTACTAGATCGTCATGACAATATTGGATAGAACATGTCAATTTCAGGATGCGGGCAACTAAAGATTACGCTATCGGCGCGTAGATTGTAGTATGCTGAAATGAAGACACAAAAGTTGGCATCACATCGGGAGTCTACTAACAAGTCGAAGGAGAAAATAAAAAACAGGAAACGTCTCGGGACAGGGTTAGATAATGTCTCTAGTAGCAATAGTTCATGTCATGCAATCGTAACTTCGTCCAATCGCCACGATCCTTTGGCGCACATCATTCGTCTTTCAAGTAATCTCAAAGTACCTCGTTCTCCAAAACGCCATTTATGCGATATGATCCACGTTGAGCATTACGAAAATGGTGGTGGTTATGCTTTGCATTCTTATGCTGATGAGTTAGCTCACCTTACGGCGGATGAGTTAGCTTTGTTGGCTCGAAAATATTTCAAGATATTATTTACCGAAAGAAGAAAAAGAGGCATCCGTGTTCCTTTTTCCCATTACTGTATAGGTGTTGTCCATGGGGCTGCGAGAAGGATGCCGGAACTGTTGTCATATTTGTCATCTGCCTATCCTAATCTCAATGTCTCGACAAATCCCCTGGAACAGAAAAACGCAACAGAAACCTTATCTCTTTCACAGTATGTAAAAAACGTTCAGAAAACTTACGCAAACGGCATCTATCGATTTGGGCCACTGCATGCATTGAGTATTGTTGGTGTTAAAGGTGAGGAACGTGGTTTTTTTGACAAGAGTCTCATTGAGATGATTGAAAAAGACCCATTCTTAAAGCTTGTAACACCATGGGGTGTCTTATCAAGTTTAAGTGGGATGGACCCTCGAGAAAGTAACGATGGACCTATTCTGTGGTCTCGTCATGGAGAACAAACTATCCCTTTATTCCCAACTACCATGCGTGGCAGGAGACGGTGAGTATTTGTCCTGAAATATTTTTGTACATATGTGTATGTATACATTAGTAAATTAGCCATGCAAACATAGTGATTACCAATTATTTGGGATGCTGTGATAGTAAATTATGGCTTTTAGTTCATGTGGCTAGTTTTCAGTCGCTGATTAGTTCCAGGTGACTGACCAATCTTCACCTCGCAGAAAAAGCTTTCATATTTGCAGTTTTAAAGGTTTGAAAACACATAATTCTTCGCAGTTAATTTAAATACACAGTCTGAATTTGATCCGCGAATGTACATTTACTACTTAGTGGAGAAACATACTTTCATTACATTCACTAGTTTTGCCTCGTTCATAAGGTCCCAGTATATGTAAAAATTCTGAACGCTTACCAGTGGTATTTTAAGAATTATGGATTGCGTTGCCGCTCTCTTAGGTATTAGACTCAAACAAGTTGGACAACCTTATCCCTCTAGGTTTCATGTTTAAAGGCAAGGGGATCGGACAACCTTGCCATATATTATCGTCTCGAGGTAATGTTTATGTAGCTGAGAACTCAATTTTGTCACCATACTGATAAGATCTTTGGGATGAATTTCAAAAGTGATTGTTTGACTCTACAGTAGCCTATTAAATTTTCAAGCGATCAATAATAACCAATACTAACTTCGGGAGAGATAACAGCATTCACTGTAGTTGAACATTATTGGTTACTCTCAGCAATCTTAATATCGCGAAAATTCCTCTCGGTTACCTTCATCTCGTTCTGTTTCTAATTCGGTAATTTTGTTTTTACAGGACTCCCGGTGCTGGGGTCCATGTGACTGTCGTAATCAGTGGTTGAATACTCTGGGTGACATGGCTCAGGATCGGTCACAATGACGTAGGTTTATACACTCCTTGTCTTCCCTTGAACTGTGAGATTAAAATTACTTCATTACCTTTTACGAACTAATTCCTTTTCTTTGTATCATATCCTTATATGAAATCCTTTTTTAACTACCATTACGGTAACTGCTTCTATGAATTTGGTGTTCGTCTAGTTGTGCTAATGAAGTATGACAACCTGGACCGATGAATATATGTTCCTAGTCCTAATTTGTAGATAACTGACTGACTTTATATAAGTTAAATAGAATCTATGAGAAAGATGTGTGATTAACTATCAACGTTTCTACAATTAAGTGGATGTAAAAAACAGACGTCAGCTGAAAGTGTTTGGTCATGAGTGTTTAGGGTTTCAAAAAGTATCTCATCTATTTAAATATGATCAACTCGAATGTCACTTCATAAACTTGTGTCGGATTTTGTTTATTTGGCAGTGTTATCAATGGTTGTATTACAGACGTGGTTATTGGTCGCCGCGCACTTGGTGGGCGTCAGATAGCGGTTCATGACAGAACTAATTGCCATGCTGACCACGCAGACGATGGGCTATCTCGTCATACTACAGCAGCTGTCGGTTTACTAAAAGCAGTGTATCCCCATCGACCTGGAGAGGAATCAGAATTGCCCTATTCATCTTCCTATCCCCTTCATTTTGAGGATGCTAACGGTGATTTAAGTTCTAACACAAATCCATACGCATACAAACTAAACCAACCTGCTAGAATAGTCAAAGATGTGGTTGTATTTGATCCACGTCATTATGTTGATCTGATTGAACGATTACGCCTAGATATTATGGAACCTCCCGCAAGCCAGGTTTGTTTTTTTTATATTTTATATAACAAACCAATTAATTATTACATTACACCCCGGTTTCTGCTTTTCCTAAATGGATCACTAATTTTTAGGATAGGAGTGACTTCATAACTAAGTTCGCTGGTGAAGAAAGTAAGACTGCGTAAATACGTATTTCTCATGCAACAACAAAATCAATCGGAGTTTTAGTTATTGAATTCATATCCAATAATTCCGTATAATCCACGGAGTTCACATGAGCGAATAAAAGTTGAATAATGAAATATTTATTTACTAAAGAATACAAAATATACCTATTTAATGTTCTGAATGAAGAATAGTCTTGAAGTGAAAAGATTCTTGTGAGGTATACACTTCAACAGTTACTAAAGAGCACACTCGAAAATGATAATGTAGACAGTTTTAAGAGAATACGTGTCACATTATTAACGATGTCGTTCTTGCCGTGTTGTGATGCTGTCAAGCTACTATACACTTTCCCCTATTTGTTTGGCACAAGCTTAAATCAGTGTTGGTACTAATTCATTTAGAATGACTCATAGTTTCCGTCGATTATCCACAAGAACCAGTAAGTCGTTAAATAGTTTTATGTATTTGGCAGTAACCTCTGAATTTATGATTCACGTTTGTCGTATTATCTATTGTCAGGAAATATTCATAAACCAGAAAACTCAAACAGATTGAATCTAGTCTATTCGGATGACCTTAAGTAATCATCTTTGATTTTGATGCTAAATGACATCAATTTCAACCTCTGAATGGACGAACCTCTTCAAGACGACAAGTCCTAGTGAATGCAAAGCGTTTATCCATGGTTCCTTACAGGCTACTCTCTGATAAGACATTAAACATTGAAGTATTTGATGCCTAGTCCCATTTAATGTATTTGTCACACGGTAAAACTTGTTCGGTTGAATTCAACCACAATCAACTAATAATATAGCACAATCTTATCTTTGTTATCAATATTTCTAGAATCAGTTTAAAGTACTCAGTTATCACTGGGAATTATTTTCTTGTGCTAGACCAGTAAATCTAGTTAATTCTGAGGAATGTGACTAGACTTGGGTTAAACTTCAAGTGATGATCAATTAACGTCGATTCAGATTTCAATAAATTTCAGAATAATACAATATAACCATCGGTTCATGCTTAATTTTCTAATGGCTTTTCATATAATTATGATTTATTTTAAAAGCAATCGGGGAAATTCCAACATTATTTAATAAATTAGTTTTCTCAGTAATCCTGATGTTTACCTAATCAATTTATCTTAACAGTGTGGGTCATTTTGGGCGGATGATGGTGAGCTTAATCAGCTACATTCCGAAGGCTTTCGTTATGTTCGCCTGCCTCTTCGTGATAATGATATCTATTTTATCCCACGGAATGTTGTACATCAATTCAAATCTGTTTCAGCTGTATCAAGTATTGCATGGCATGTTCGTTTAAAAAATTATTACGACCAATTACAACATGATGATACAAGCGGAATGTCTGAACATAATGATTCTGATCTAAAAAGTCTCGATCATGCCTATCAGTCGTCTGAATCCATCAAGTCAACATCTGAGTTATCTGTCCTTAACGATATAAACACTAATAGTAACTTAAAGAAGTCACCTGAAAGTAGTATTCATTCATCAGCTAATGAGTTAGCTAGTTGAAACCCACTCATGATTTCTTGTATTTTGTTTTAATTGTTGATATCTCATTGTTTCTTTTTGTAAAATAAGTCTAATATGGTTCGACTTTATATTCATTGTTTGTTTTATTCTTAACGTTGCTGTTAAATAGCTGTGTATGCATGTGTCACTTTTCACTGAACTCATTTGCAATATAATATCATCTTTGCATACCATTTAATTCTGGTTGTTTCTCATTACTGTGATTCCGTATCTACTAGTTTATTTCCTTTTCTACTTGGATGAGTGTGTCCAAACACCTAAAATCCTTTTGTACTAATATGAAATTGTTATTTACTTCATCAGTTCCAGCTTGTTTTGTTTGCTTTATCATGTTTAGTTTCTCTTATTCTGATTTTCGTTTCTCTCTTATGTTCCTACTTTTTGTTTGTTTTAAAATATGAAGTAATTTTACAAGTTTTCATCACGAGTTGCATAAATTGATGTAAAATAATCCATTCCTAGCTTCTTTCTTTATTTCTTGTTTTCCTTTTCGGTAAGTAATAGGTGCTATTTTTAAACCAAAAGTCTTGAACCTCGGTTTTGTGTTTTTTCGTTTGGGGTAATTAGCGAAGCGTATCCATAAACTCACGTTACTTATACTTCGTTCAAAATTTAGTCCTAAACAGTGCTTTGTTGGAATATGAGAAACTAATGCTCATCGTCATGTTAACATTATTTTTTGCATGACCAGGTTTTGTGAAAAAAATATATGATACTTAGTTCTTAGCACTAATCAAAGCCTATCAATCAAAGAATTCTGTGTATTCGCTAAGATAGGCATTTTAAAGTGTAGTACTCGAGGGGTTATAGGCTCTCTCGAACAGACCATTTTGTCTCGATATCACGCGAGTTACGAAACATGGTCGCCTTTTATCCTCAATATGGATTGTAAGAGCTGAAGCATCACATTGATCATTTGGGATCGATCTGTGTAAGACAGCACGTATATTAGTAATAAAACTAGGATCTATTTATTATATGTGTTTGACTTTCAATTGCTCTTTTGTCGAGGGGATACTGGATGTTTATCAGATGTTATCAGTCACTAGCAAATTTTTAAGCATCTACTGGATATTAGCACTTTTGAATGAATTTTCATCTCAAAGTGTAGTTAGAAGGCTGATATAAAGTAGAAGTTTTGTTTCAACCCGTCCTGGTGTAGCCTATTTTGATGACCAGGATAGGGGGGTGTTGTAAAAATCCCTTTTGGACGCAAAGGTCCAGTTTGCAGAAGTCAGTTCCGATACCTTGTGAAGCATCTAAATGAAGTTCGCATAAATCATACCGTATATTTGATGGGATGTGTATTTGTTCACATTGTAGTCTTTATTTAAAGAAGAGATTTCTTTTTTTGTCACACTTATTTAATTACGTTGAATTTATGAATAATCATGCATCTCAGTAATCTACTATGGCCTGTATTACATGGTCTTTATGTGAATATTAGGGATATTATCGGACGTATCAGGCTATATATAATGTCAGCACTTTTATGATGAGATAGGGATAAGGTTGCAAAACAACTGTAATAAATACGAGGAAAGATGTTCAGTACTCAAAACTGTTAGGATGGCTAAATTTCTTTTAGTAAGTTGACAACTGTATATTGGAGTATTGATGATTTACGAGTATTGGAGAGTACCGTCAGCTTCATCCCCATTGAACTGTAGTTTTAGTAAGAAGACGAAATATCGCGAAGAATAAGCAGCCCTAGGTTGTTTATGTTGAGTTAAAAATAATGGTCGTGTTCTAAAATGCGGCACTTATAGACCACTTTCCACAGAGTTGGTTACTTTAATAAATACGTAGAGGTGATTTTTAGGTAATAAGGTCAAGCATCAAAACCAATTGCACCTCTTATATATCATATCCAATTAGTTAAGTAAAATAACATCACTATCTAATTTCAACTACGAAAAAATATACTGACCTATCGAAACCAATATTTTCTCCTACTTTTATGTACAACCAGTTGGATATATTCAAAATAAACGGTACAAATCGGTTCATGAATGGTCCTAGTTTAAAATGAAATTATTTGATCAACTTCGAAAATTACTCAAAACAGTTCCTTAGTTCTAAAATGAAACTGTTTGAAAACCTAAGTATTCATTTCCCTAGATAAACCGTATTTTTAAAGTTGAGGATGATAAAGAACTAATAAATTTCCATTCAACCAGTAATCTTCATGGTAAAACATGGGTGATTTATGAGACGACTGTTCATGGAAGAATAATAAATAAATTATGAGTATACTTGTAATTTGAACGAGTAATCGGGTTATTTGATAGCTGGAATCTAAGTTTAGTGTCATTATTTCTTTTTTATAAGTGTTCAATAATATAAACAAAAGTAGTTAATAATATTCACATATTACGTCCAAATGCACTTTTCAGTTTTTATACATAAAAATGTGGTTATTGACACAAGCATAAGTTTATGAATACAAGATCATTAAGTAACTTTCTATGAGTTATAGCGCTAAAATTTATAGTAAAATCAAAATTCTATGAGAGTTAAGTTGTATGGTGTATCTTGAACAGGAAAATAATAAATAAAAATGCCAAAGATGAGTACTAAAAGTAAATGAAAGTCTGTTATTTAATAATTCTAGAATACCAAACAGAAAGTAGATCAATATACTTCTGAAGTCATCCACTGGTTGAATACATGAATTAATATGAACTTGTGAGACAGTTTATATTTAAATAACTAAGAAAAATGTTTTCTAAGCATATTACTTGAAATCTATACGTGGAGAAGAAAATTCACAATCATAATTACTAGATACTCAATAGATAGTGAACAACACAAAAGCCTTCAAACTAATTCACAAATATAGATCAGCTTATTTAATTTTTCTTTGTAGAAGCTGTTCCCAATAACCGTTTCAGACTTAAAAGATTATTTTCTTTTGTCTAGTTTCAAAAATTGTAGGATGTAAAATGCTTACTTCTAAATGTATTTCTCCTAATAACTAGGTTTCTTGTACCCTGAAGAAACCTGAAAACAAAATAAATTCATTTTGTTCTGCAAATCTTGACATCCTTGTTTCTCTAAAAATCATTATTGGAACCAGATGTATGAAAAAGTCAGATCGCTTGGAAGAAAATCTTTCGATTGTGCTTTAACGGAAAAGGTAAACGTTGAAAGTAATAAATGTTAATATAAGTAAAAGAATTTAGATCACTGTGTAGTGCATGTACTACTTTGTAGTGTTAAATAGCATAACATGAGGAATAAAAAGTAATTTAACTATGCCTCTTCAAAATTAGCATGACTTCAAGGAATGCTCTTTGTCATACATCAATTAATAAATGTTTAAAGTGAAAATTTTATAATTTGATTCTATTGTAACTTTACTAGCAGGCTAACTATTTCAACCCTGATCCATAAAGAAATTAATAGTTATTTCTCCTATGAGTATGTACAAACCTCACGTCCCTTATATACGCGAACATTAATGTCGTCTGAAACTCGTTTTCAAAAGTGAGTGGATGTACTCACTCAATTAAATGTTTCATCAATCAGTGTTCCTCTGCAAATACAACCATATCTTCAACCTGAAATTGATCTTTATTTCTTGGTTTTACTGTGAATGTGCTCGAAACAGTTCACCAATATTTATCAGAATTCTGAACTAACCAGAATGATTACCAAATGTGTAGATGAGGTGAGAAAATATAATTAAGTTATCGTATTCTGCATAAATTATTGTTCTTTGCTTTATTTACATGGATTCATTGTAAATTATTGTGAAATCATTCAGAAAGATTAGACTGTTGGGAAGATATGAAATGTAGAAGTAGTGAAATTTAAAGTAGTTTACAAAATAATAACTCCCAAAGTAAGAAGGCAATAGGCAGGAGAAAAGAAAGCTTGTTGTAGGAAGCTACAAAGTATTTTCATAATATATATACATAACCTTTATTCGTGTATTTGAATTGTTGGACCTGTACATATGAGCACTTTTTCCATTATTAATTGAAATGGTCTGGAAAATGACTCCATCCATGTCCGTACAATGAAACAAACCGCTTCAATATGTCAGTCCATGAAATTCAAATATCTAATAATTAGTTTACAGTGCTACATCAAACAGTTCAGAAACTAACATGCCAAGTTTCTAACTACGTTCATTATCAACAAACTAAATAACACATTCATTCACAATTAGATCTTATTTGGTTCGTTCCCAACTTTTGGTTAGAGGAACAAGAAGAGAATTTGTGGTATTTTGTCTATTAAATGGTTAAAATAAACTATCCCTTTATTAGTTTTCAAAATTAATCTCCAACTTTCCTTCAAACAACGTATTCCTACTTACACTTTGAGGAAATAAACATTATCTACATACGAATAATATTTTCATTTCTTATAAGAAATCCTGACATGTCAATTTTGAAACCTGTTTGACACTACTTCTAAGTAGCATGAGTTGCGAAATACAAAATAATCGAATTTAATTTTAAGTAATAACAAGTTGGGATTGTTGGAAATGGAAAAATGATACACGTGTAGTGATCTCTTTGGTCGACTACTAATGGCTTATTCGAAATCATTTACATATCTAAGTAATTGTTTGCTGAAAGCATGAGGTTCATACTGGTTATCTAGCTTAGACAATGATCATTCTCCATTGTTAACTGTTGATTCACAGGGCTCCATAATTCACGAACGTGTTCTATGTCGATATTAGTCACATAGTTTGTTCAATGTTATGTCGACCGACCGAAGTGGAATTTGGCTTTTGATTTTCTAAGAATGATATTCTAGATTTTTCTCAGTGGATATATTCATCGTGGTTATGTTTTGTCTGGTCATTCATTGACCGTAGCAAAATGATTAACTTGGCTTAGTTAACAAGATCTTTGTATGCATATTGTGATGTAGCTATGAAAATCGTCTCCTTTAGTATACTAATCTGATTTTTAGGGAAATGAAATATAAAACATGGAATTGTATAACATTGGATTCACCAACTAACTTAGTCTGCAATTAAAATGCTAAACAACGAAAACCTTTTATGATTATGCGATTTCTTATAGTCTGTTGACCAACTTATATTATTATAAGTGAGTGTTGATACGATTCACCGAACTCTGTTGGGATATGTGCATTCTGAATAGATTACCTCAATATTTCAATTTAGTCACAAGTTTGAGTTGAAACGGATTATAAATGACAATCGGATTAAGCACTCACATTTGTCGTATTCAACATCCAGGCATTCGGTTAACGGTACACATATATCAATAGAGATTGACCAGTTGAAATCCTGAGTGATAACAACGAGAAATTACAAATACTCACTAAGACCATCACACCCATCAAACTAGTCATTGGCTTTTTGTAGTCAGTAGCTTACTGAATGGTAAGTTGACGCCTGAAGTGATAGGCACCGCAATCCAGGACACGAAGCTTGCCAGTCCCTAAAAGAACGAACCACATATCCTGGATTCCACGGCTCGACACAATCCAAATTTTACATTGCATTTTTGTTGCTTACTATTTAAAGACTCTTTTTATTGTCAAAAA